ATATATTAATTTTGTCTTTTACTTTTTCAGGTTTCTCCATTGCCCTGAGAGGCTAGACTGTCATCACAAACTGTACTTTGGGGCAGAGAGAATCCTGACGAGTTGTCATTTGGGGAAGTTTTTTCCAGAAAGGGATACCAGGGACTTTGGGCTTTTTGGTTCAGCAACAGACACTGAGTAGAGTTAGCTGCCAAGAGCTTTTATAGGAGAGGGCAAAGCACACATTTTTCACATAGGTTCGTACTCAGAGCAATAGTTCAGGTATGCTTCCATAGCAATCACTTAATTAAATGAAAGCAAGAATGTGACATAACCTTCATGGTATACATTTTCCTGAACTAGCCCTATCAAGGAACTCAAGGAAACATTTCTGAGATTTTTATCTTATAACTAAACCTGACCTGCAGAATGGTATAGGTTCTTCTAAGGTTCAAAATACATTTTTTTTTTTGAGACAGTATATCACTATGTAGCCTTGGCTGGCCTGGAACTTGCTGTGTAGACCAGGCTGGCCTCAAACACAGAGACCCACTTGCCTCTGCCTCCCAAGTGCTGTGATTAAAGGAATGCACTACCAGGACTTATCCCTGGTGCATGAACTGGCATTTTGGAGCCCATTTCCTACAGTGGGGTACCTTGCTCAGCCTTGATGCAGTGGGGAGGGGCTAGGCCCTGCCTCAACTTGGTATGCCAGTCTTTGCTGACTACCCAAGGGAAGTCTTACCCCCTCTGAGGAGTAGATGGGGGGGTGAGATTGGGGGTAGGAGGGTGGGAAAAGGGGAGGGAGGGGGGACTGGGGATAGCATGTAAAATTAAAAAATTTTTTTAAATTAAAAAAAGGAGGGCATTACCGTGCTTGGCCATTAAAGCCAAATTTAGGGGTGGATGCAAGTGTCTAGAATACAGCAGGCACTAGGACCCCATCATTAAACCAATTGTGATGTCCTGATCTGGCTTCCTGGTCACTGTCTGGTTCCTCTGTAGTGGGAGATCTGTGTTGTGAATACAAATCCTTTGGTTTTATATAGGCCTTTCCACCTCTCTCTGAGGCATCTTAAATATAAGAGGAAAAGAGTCATGCATTTTTATAGTAATACAAGGAATTCACTACCCAGAACCTTTTGCAATTATAAATATATTGCAGTGTTGGGAATCAGACCTGGGTCCTTATGCCTGCTGGGCAATTTTCTATAGCTGAACAATATCCCAACATCTTGGTTTTGTTTAGAGACAGGGTCTTCTGATGGGGCTAGGCTGTATTTGAACTCATGGCAATCCTCCTGCTACAGGTTCCTGATTGTTGGGATTACAGGTGTGTACCACAGGCATCTGGCTTGAACATTACTTGTAAACGATGTTACTGAGTATGATCAGAACCAGGTGATATTGGAACCCATTGTATTTTTCTAGACTATTTTGCATACACATACATTTCATTGTTCATATGAAACACATATCATGAAATTGAGGAAGGTTCATCTGTATCTTTGTCATCTATACATCTACATTTGTATACACAAATGCTTTCTACCACTTTTAAAGCTTGTATTATGTATTTCCTTCAAACCACTAAATACTCCTTAAAAACCCAGGTTTGAGGGGTGGTGGTGTGGCTGGCACTGAGCGCTTGTCCAGCATACACAGCAGCTAAGAGCAGAAGCAAGGCACAGCCAACTCCTGACTTTGGGGTGGTAGAGATCCCAGGGTCAGATGGTATTTTGATCATATTTAAAGCTATATATGTAGAACTCTCTGAATGCTTCTAGGCAAATTTGTTAATTTAGAAACAGTGTCTTACAATGAGGCTAGGCTGTATTTGAACTCATGACTATCCTCCTGCCTTAGGCTCCTGATTGTTGGGATTGCAGGTGTGTACCCCAGGCACCCAGCTTGAGCACTACTTTTAAATGATATTGCTAAGTGGTCATTGGTGATCTGCTGGTCTGGAGTCAGAGAAGACAACTATGCTTTGTCCTACAGAGGCCTTGGGGTATCTGCATTGCTCAGCCTGCTGTGACCTGGTAAGGGTGATGAACTGGGGTCCTGGATCCTGCCTCTAATTTCTGTAGGCTCCTTCACTCCTGTTTCCAAATGGTGGCCTCATCCCCTATGTGCAAAGCACTACAGGGCATGGCCAGGGAAATCACTTCTTAGTCTAACCTGTAGAAGCTGGACTGGCCCCAGCATCACTCTTCCCCAGCAGGTAGCACCACAGACCAGAGTTCTCTCCCTGCAGAAAGCATGGAGTCCACAGAACCTTGCCTGCATCACTCATTTATCTCAGATTCTGCCGTCACCCTGTTTACAGTCTTTGGATCTTCACCCCTGTTTTTTCCCACCAGTCTGTAACTGCAAATGGTTTTCACCTCTGACTATTCAAACACGATATTGAAATGGACAAATTACACCAAATGGTTTTCCAAGCCAGCACAGTTGTCAGTTTGCACCCCCAATTAAGTTTGACATTGAATGTTTGGAACTTCCAAATAGTTTTTGTATATATTTAGCTCATGGTGAAAATCTAGAAAACAACAACAACAACAACAAAAAAGCCCAAAACCAACCAACCAACCAATCAAGCACAAAAACAAACAAACCAAAAAAATTTATGATTTGGTTGCTATTTAAGTTTGAAGAGTCTTTGTAGACAACATCATTCCACAGCATTTTAACTTTTGGAGGTTTCAGCAAAACATTCTTCAAGAAAATTCTTAGAAAAAATGGGAGCAATGAAGCATAAACCATTTTAAGTTGACTTTTGGCAAAACCTATGACTAGTTTTATCACATTCAAAGTTGAAAAGTTGAAAATTATCATAGGATGTGGCTACAAGCACAGTGTGAATCCTGCGAAGTCCTTCTCAGAGCTTCACTAGAAGGCTTACACCCTGACAGAAGGGCTGTGATTGGGTGAGGCCCACAATGTTCCTTCTCTTCTGGTTACTCATTTCTCTGAGCCCAATCAACACTGGTCCCTTCTGTCATCCAAGACTTCATAAGGGACATCTGGGCAGAGTTTGGACTGTTCTGTGTTAGGTCAGGATTTTATGAAGTGAGACACTAGGGTCTGACCAGAGGCTCAGGCAAGGGAGTAGCTCCTTAAACCTGGGGTGAAGCCAGACGTCAGGGAGCAACGTCAGGGAAAAGCTCCTCCTGTTAATACTGACATTTTAGAGTTGTTTCCTGAATGTGCCTTCCAGAGTTACCTGGTTCGTCTAGGTGGTCCAGCCTTTGGGGCTTTCCCAGCACATTCCTATGGTGGTGAGAGATGCTTTCTTCTCTGTACCTTTATGCCATGGATGCTATTTCCAGGGGAAAGCAGTGTGGTCACAGAACATGGCTACACACAAGGGGAACCCACTGTATCTTCGTAAGTTCCTGTTTTAGTTGGCTCAAAGGGAGAACGTGCAGAACTGTATTTTCTGGCTCTCTGATCTCCTAAAACAATACTGAAGGTTGACATGGCAGCTAGTATAATGCCAGCATTAAAATAGTCAGTGAACACGGATGAGATGCCCTTTGCAACCCTGTGGTGGGAGGGCATTACGTAGCTGCGTTAATCACAGTTCAGTCCTTCAATCCATTCAGGAAGAAGATTAGAGGTGCAAAGCTCTTACTTGTGACAGAGGAAAAGGCAGAACTAGGGATCAGATCCCAGAGTGGGAAGGCTCTGCCCAGAGTGGGAAGGCTCTGCCCAAGGCATGGCCCTTTCAGAGGCATGGGTAAGTAGGACAGGGGAAGTTGTGGGAAGTACCTGGGAATCACTCAGGAGCTGCATAGAGCTGATACTCACAGCTATGGACTTTAGATACTGAGGCCTTCCAGATAAACTTAGGAATGAGATTTAAAGGGCATTCCTGTTCATCCTTACTCTAAGGACAACACTTTCTTTAAACTCCACTTGAAGTAAAACTATTTCCCACATCACTTAGGATATTGCACTATTGTCTGAACAAATACATTGGCAAACAAATCTATCATCTTGGATTCAAAATTTAGCTACAGAGATGGCTATGGGCCCTTATCTCTCTTTAGCAGACACTTCTTCAGTTCAATGAGGTCATGGGTTGACAAAACTCTCGTCAATTGGAAGCATTATTACAGTGTCCAGGAAAAGCTAGCTATGTGACCTCGGTGTCCAGAGAAGGACACTGAATGTGAGACTTTCACATCTGCGGGAAGGTGGACATGCTGTGCAGAGTTGAGGGTTGGTGTCCATCGGACAGGTGCAGTGTCTGGAAACAGTCTACTCCAGTGCAGGCTTCTCAGCTGTTTGCAGATGGGCCACTCCACCATGTCTTGTCCTAGAGGCACTGAATGTGAGGGCTTTTAGATCCCAGCGACCCCGGGGACCAGATGGAAGGCTGTTCTCACCAGCAGCCTGAGGATTGCTGCCTCCTGGCCTTCACTGTGCAGTAGGGAGTCTTCTTAGAGGGGTCTACAGTACATAACATTCTATATTTCTCTGGCTGCAGTGTTCTGAATTTACCAAAATTGTAATTTCCCCAAGACCCAAATTCTGACATCATCCAGTTGTAAAGCCCATGAACTCTCACCCCAACTTCCCTAGGTTAAACAAGACAATAACCAAGGCTTTTGAAACCTGTTGTCAAACACACACACTGTATATCATGCCTCTTCTGTCCACTTCCCTTCTTACCTGATTTTTCCTGTCCTGGGCATTCCATCACCTTCATGGCAACTGCTTTTCTCCATCCCCAAAGAGGATTCAACACATTTGTCACTCAACATACAAGCATCAGTACCTACTTCTACCTACACTCTAGGAACTGGGTCATCAGAGTATGTTGATGGCTTTTTCTTTACTTTGGAAATTTCTATCCAGCCTGAACTGGAAGACAGGAAAATCATGTAGGCACACAAGTGATTTCACCATGTATTGTAAATGCAGAGCCCCGTATCTATACATATATTGACACAGCTTTAATATCTTAGTGAGGAAGGGGATAATGGCATGCAGCTGCGAGCCTGTAGCATCACCTGATCCTGGGATTTCTTTTTCTTCTTCTTCTTGCCCCAGCACCCAGAACTCTCTGCATCCTTGCCATTGGCCTCCCCACAGAGCAGTCCGTCCAGCTCGTCTGTGCCCATGTGCTGTCCCTGAGACGTTTCTGCTGCTAGCCGGTATGAGAGGTTCCTCAAGATGCACACACAGTTTTCAACGGTCTGCAGCATCCCCAAAAGAAAAAGGGAAATGGAGGGGTAAGTGTAAGTGACTCAGCAGATGCCTCCACCTTGGAAAGGCAGTCAGTCTCCATGGACACACTGGTCCTCAGATGCATTTACCTCCTGCTTTCAAGGGCTCCGCTAAGAGCTGCAACAGAAAGAATCTGGATAAGCTTGGAAGGTCCTAACACCATTTCTCACTTGAGACAATTATCATCAATATTAGGTACTTCAACAAACACCAGTCACGGTAATCAAAATGCACTTGTGAGAACTGGACAAATTTGCAACTACAAGATCACCATTTACAGGCAACTCCTGCCTGGAGTTTAGGAATCTAAGTCACTAAGATCACAGGGAGTGGATTTAGTTCGGCTCTCGTTTGGGATGCTGTTGCACATCATTTATCAAGAAATATACAGTTTCAGTAATGCTGGAGACCACACCTGGGAGGCCCTAAGTATGGGACATACAACACTTTGTCTTGGCTTTGGTATGAATATTAGCTCTGCCCAATGGCTGTGTGGCTTTGTGCAGTGACTAACCCTTTTGTGCCTCTGTTTCTTCATTAATAAGCCAGTCCTGATAAAAGCACCAGCATCACAGGGCTGTGGAGAGGATGGGATGAATTTAGAGACTTGGTGCCATTTGTTGCTGTCACCAGTAAGTTTTGGAGGTGAGACAAAGTAAGTTCTAGTAGCTTCCAGAAGTTGAGAGCAAAGCTCAGTAAGCTGCATCTGCAGGCTGGAGCCAACCTGAGGCTTGTCTCACAATAATTCGAAAGCAAACCCAACATGCCCAGGTGTTTATGACCACCCCAGGCTGCTATCGGGAAACCAGAGAGTTGAGACTGAGATCCTTTGCATTTGTCCTTTGCCCCTCTGCAGAAAGTGCTTCCCTGAAAGAAAGCCGACTTTTAAAAATCTATTTTATTTACTGCGTATATGTTTGTGTGTCTGTGTATTTCTGCCTATGTATTTGTGTCTGTGTGTTGTCTATGCATGCCACAGCACACATGGGGAGGTCAGAAGACAACTCTCTGGAGAAGTTTCTTTCCTTCCACTGTGTGTTCTGTGGATCAAAGTCATGTTGCCAGCCTTGTGCAGCAACCATGTTTACAGGCTGAGCCATATCATGGGGCCCCAAAATTGACCTTTTAAATTTTGTTCTGAACTTAAGACAGGGGCAGGCAGGGGTGGGGTGAGAAAGAGAAATAAAATACACATCTTAAGAAAGGGAAAACAATAAGGAGGAGAAAAAGATCCAATTTTATTTTGAAAACACTTGCATCTTGGCGATCATGTTCAGAGACCCACTATGTGGCAACAGACTTTCATGCCACAGAGGGAAGAGGGATGGGTGAAGCCAACTGTAGGTAGCTCACTGTTGAAAGTCATTCCCTCTGTCTGGGGTCAGTGCCACAACAGACAGAGACACCGGACTCCAATCCTGGCCTGCTGCCCTCATTGGCAGGAAGCTGGTAAAGGGTAGCCTGTGCTCTTCACCTGATCGGGGTGGTGTGACTGTTAGTTAAGAAAAGCAGTGCTCAGGATATACTCTGCGGCCCATGCCATCCTTAGCTATTTTTTCCAGCTTGCCAAGGTTTCATGGCTGCTAATCCCACAGGCTTTGAGCCAACTTGATTTTCTGTTTCAAGCATCCTTTCCGCATCAGGAAAGGAAGCCGGCATGAAAGCAAGTAAGCACAGGATGACACATGAAAGACAGACACGTCTCTCCTTGAAAGGAAAATGTTATGGCACAAGTCAAGACAATTTTCAAATCATCTCAAACTGACTTCTCTTCCATCAAGGACTCAGGAGAGAAAGCTTCCTTCCTTCCTTCTCATCTTGTTGTTTCTCTCCCCTGGGGCTTCGGTGTTCTTCCAGCAGGACTGGGGAGACTAAAGCTGTAGTTTCAAGGAGTGCTTTATAATCACTCCGCAGTTAGGGAGATGGTGTGGGGAGAAGCTGGAGAGAAAGAGGGAGCTGGGAGGTGTGGTGATATTGTGTTCCCCAATATATTGTGCACCCTAATAAACTTATCTGGGGTTAGAGGACAGAACAGCCACTAGATATACATAAAGGCCAGAAAATAGTACTACACACACCTTTAATCCTAGCATTCTGAAGGCAGAGATCCATCTGGATCTCTGTGAGTTCAAAGCTACACTGGAAACAGCTAGGCATGGTGACACATGCCTTTAATCCCAGGAAGTGATGGTAGGAAGCAGAAAGGTATATAAGGCGTGAGGACCAAGAATTAGAGCCTGGTTAAGCTTTTAGGCTTTTAGCAGCAGTTCAGCTGAGATTCACTCCAGATGAGGACACAGAGGCTTACAGTTTGAGGAAATGAGGTCAGCTGAGGAATTGGCGAGGTGAGGTTAGCTGTGGCTGGTTCTGTTTTTCTGATCTTTCAGCATTCACCCCAATACCTGGCTCCGGGTTTGTTTTTATTAATAAGACCTTTTAAAATTCATGTTACAGGGAGGGTAGGAAGGAGAGGGCCCGGAGAAGAAAAGCTTCCTGGAGTTGGGTAGTCTGGCTGGGTTTGGTAGGTTCCCAGTTCAAGAGCATTCCTCTAAAGGGAGCGTGGAAAAGAAGAGAAGGAAGAGCAGGGACACCAGCAGAAGACGCGTGGCATCTGCTAGGTTTGTGACATCCATTACTGTCAACAGCGCTTTTTAGTGTTCTTCTTGGTCACCAGGGTCATTTTGACTCCTTATTTTCTATTAGAACAGGCTAATTTGGGAGTCATCTGTGGACCACTCCACCATATGTTAGCCATTCAATAAACTGTCCCAATTATAGGAGCAGAGCCACGAGCTTGCATGGAATCCAGGCTCTTATTCATTAACTTCTTTGGCCTTAAAGACAATGTGCACTCACGTTTCCCCCTCTAACTTGTCATTGTGAAAGCTCAGAAGCGGCCAAACTGAGGGCTGAGTGGAAAATTATGGTGCAATAATAATACGTTAAAAGTCAATAGTACGATCCAGCCAGCAAAGCCTGGTGGAGTAATTTATCACATTGGATGGAGCCCTTCAACAGTCAGGGCATGCGGTTAAGACAGTCCTTCCTGTCACAAGTTGAGAGCACTTGTGTACAGTGCTCTTGGGGGATGGAGAGGGCATTGGATACTGGCCCTGTTCTGATGCCCAGCTCAACACACTCCCTACTTATCAGGGATACTCAAGTCTTCTCACTCTAGTCTAGAGAAACCCTCCACTTCAACTTCTTTTAGAAAAAAACATGGATATTAAAACAGATCATCTCTTTGGTCTCCCAGATGTATTAGGAGTCTGCTCATCCAAATGGTCAGACAATGACACTTATGCCACAGAACATGATGGTGCCCAAGCCCTGTGCCTGAAAACTGCCTAAAACCTCCAGAGATAGGAGCAGGGGAGCTTGGCAGAGACATGAGGCAGTGGCTTTTATTTTATTCATCTGCAAGGTCCAGACAGTGGGAAAGCTGTTTTGGATCCAGCAGACTCACAGACTTAGCATCTCCATGCCTCAGCCTTTGGATACTGTGAATATTAAAATGCTCAGCGTTGCTATGGCAGTGAACTATCTATACAAGCTCTTCTATAACTCAAGTGTCTATTATACTAACAGACTCCTGTAAATACTCAAGATTTCTTGACTGGTCACCAGTTTAGGGATTTAATTTTCTTGTCAACAATATTGATAGGTCTACAATGGTTACTAAGGGACTTCATAGAAGAGGGAGGCTTAAGTCTTTATTATATAACATCCCATGCTTGAAGTTAGTGCTGCAGGACTAGCTTTAGGCCTGGTGGGTATCAGTGATGGGAGGACAGTGGTGTTTACAACTGGGTGGAGCCAGTGTTCACAGGACTATACTCCTGCAAGACACCTGGAACCCAACTCTTCAGGGTGACAGGCTCAGACATCGGTAACATTGTCTAATGTATAGTCAAAGTTAAGAAGGGTTATGTTAATTCACCCATAAAGCTAATTAATGGCTAAGCATACTGAACTATTATTTAAGATTTATATTTATTTTATGTGCATGATTATTTCATTCCATGTAAGTATGTGTACCACGCATAGGCCTGATGCTGACAAAAGCCAGAAGAGGCCATTGGACCCCCTGGAACTGGAGTTACAGACTGTTATTAGCTGCAATGTGGGATCTGGAAACTGAGCTCAGGTCCTCTGCAGGAGTGGCAAGTGTTTAATTGAACATTTTTGAAAATTTAAAAAAGGTTTTGCAGGCACTTAAAAAAAACTAGCCTTTAGTATAATTAAATAATTAGTTATCAAAATTTAATTTATAAAAATTTATAATTATTCAAATTTCAACATCTTCATCTTCAAAATAATAATTTTTTTTAAAGTGCAAGCTGGAGGCTCAGATGTGTGAAAGTTTACTCATCTGGGAAATCCATGGTTTGATTTACTAACAACAATCTAAATTTCACTTTAACTTCCTGAATTCTCAAAAACAGCGATTTTCAAATGCTGGTTCTAAGCTAGAGTGAGCATCCCTTTAGATGATGGATCACTGTTGTAGTTATATCAAGATAGGGCTCAGAACATAAGTATGAAATACTGTAATAGCTTCCCATGGCTACTAGCTGTTGCTTAATCTCTGGAGCACATTTAATCCTTAAGAATCTGGATCTATGCAAACACCACCAACCTTGCTATCGATCTCACTGCTCCCCAGCGCAGACTGAATCACATACAGCAAGGCATCCGTGAGCCCGTCACACTCCCGCATCCTCCGGCGGGCCTCCTCACCAGCTGAACTTACATTCCTGAAAAGCAAAGGAACATGTCAGTGACCTTCACTGTGGCCACCAAGAGACCAGCCTTTCAGAAGGAAATTCTTTTCCTTTTTACAGTGTTTAATGAGTGTAGCTTTAGCAAATAGACATGGCTTCAACAGACAAGCCAGGGCTATAGAGCATCTACTGCAACTTGTTAAAGAGAGAATGCAACATGATATGTCGGAGTCCTGGGACTCTTGAGAATTAGAGACTTCTAGAAACATGGGAGGTTCACCTCATTTACAACTGAAGAGGGAATCAGAAGTTTTTTGAACATTCTTCTTTAAGAAATCTCAAGTATTTTCACAGCAAGACCTTCCAACTTACTAAATATCTTAGAGACACATTTTTTATGCCTTAAACATATACCTTCCACAGTCCTGTCAGAAGCATACTGGTAGGAATTCATTTTAGGGACAAACTTCTTTGTGTCATTGGGATGCCTCTGACACAGCCCATAGGAAGGAGGTACACCACACTCTTTCCCGTGTTGCATATCCTGAGCTAAAGGCAACAGAAGGAGCCTGTTGTAATACCTCATAAGGTTAAGAAGCAGACAGACACTCTTGTAGCTCTACAAAAGACATGTGATGTCTGAGTAGATGAAGAATCCCTGGCATGGTATTACAGAGACTCTTCGGGAGTGCTGTTTATTTATTCTGTTACCTAAAAATGTTCTTCTATCTATATTTATGATTTATCTATCTATCTATCTATCTATCTATCTATCTATCTATCTATCTATCTATTTATTTATTTGCAATGGCTATGGAAAAACACAGAAAGAATGCTGAAAGAGGTGAATCTGTAGATGGTACAACAAGATTGGAAGCATTTGAGAGCACAGGGGAAATGGGGGCAAGAGAATGAGATATTGCAATGGTCCTCAAATTTGGGAATCCTGATGATGACCTTGAAGGCAGCTAGAATGGAGTTACACTCTACTCTGGAGTCTGATTCTAAAAGCTTGGGTGGAGGTAGGTAACATTCACCTCTTGGATAATACAGAGCATAGTATCTGAACACTTAACTCCATGGATGGATTTACTGCAGGAGCAGTGCTCTTTGCTGATTGTTGGGAGCCACAGAGGCTAACTACAAGAATCTGTGCATTGGGGCAGAGTCTGGAGTAAAGGCAGAAAGGGTGACTTCATCCCATCACCTTGGCTGACAAGGTGCTTTCTCATTTCACTCCCAGTTTCCTTTGCTGGCACTAAACTGTTTGAAGATGAAGGAGCTGACACCTCCTGCGCCCAGACCCCTCGCCTCCCCAGGAGGTTCTGAGAGTCACTGAAGGGGATGCAATGGAATGTAAGTCAATGGAAGAAGGAAACTTGAGTGCTACAGGGCTGACAAGGAGTCTGGGTGATTGGTTTTGTCTGGGATTTTATTTTAATGAAAAGAAAACAGGCGTAATGCTGTTAAAAGGCTACTGATCCTAACTATTTACTTTGATATCTAAATGTTTTATAGGATGGGTTAAAATAGGATCCATCAGTACATTAATATAACACTATGAAAGGTTATTCAATTTAAATAGGATTTTTTATTGATCTTAAAATATAAATAGAAGATTTTAGGTGCTTAGATGAGATGACTAGGTAAATATTAAAAACATTTTAATGTGAGGTCTTGTAAATTCTAACCTTTGTTTCTGAGAAGATATCTGGTGGGGATGAAGTAGGAGGAAGAGCTAACTTGCTGTTAGAAAGAACTTGTGAGAGGCATGGTGATATTGTTCCAATCTAGAAGGGCAATTATAACAGAATGTTCTAGAGCATGCCACCTAAAAATGATTTCTACCAGGTTGAACTCTGAAGACATTCAGGAAGCTTGTCAAAAATTTCAGTTATTCTTTCTTGGCAAGAAGAATGTTGGGTAGCAATGTGTGTGTGACTTTTGTTCAGTGGGGAAGTTTTCCCAAATAATGAGGGAATCCAGACAGACTCCTTAGAGATGGTTTATGTATACCCTAGCATCTGTCTCCTCCCTTCACTGATAACCTCAGCCCTTTTGCTGTTTAAGCTTATCATGGTAGCAAACTGCCTCCTTTCACAAGACTTGACAATTAGCTGGGATTCATTTCACTGTGATTCAACAAATGTACAGGACCAGCCAATAACAGCAGGAATGAAAAACTTCACCAACATTATATGTTGCCAATAGTAATTCCAAAATTTTTCTTTATCCTAGTTTTTATTTGATTTGAGTTCAGCCTCTTCCAAAAATATATTAATTTGCTCCTATTTTGAAATGTGCAAGGTACTGAGAAATAAGAAAGACTAGTCAGGCTTGGTGGCACATGTCTTTAATACTAGTGCCCAAGAGACAGAGGTGAGGAGAGCTCTGTGAATTCAAAGCTAGCCTAGTCTACAAAGGTTGTTATAGGCAAGCCAGGGCTATAGAGCAAGACACTGTCTCTAAATAAATAAATACATAAATGGTAATAACACCTTAATAGAGAAGGGAAATGACTAAGACACACATGCATACATATACTTTCGCACACACACACACACACACACACACACACACAGTGACTCATATGCACACACACAGACTCACACACCTACATAGAATCACACACACATAGACCCATGTAGAGATACACAGACATACTGACACACACACAAACAAACACAGACGCGCACACTGTTTGCATCTATGAGGAGGCTCAGTATGTACGCCTTAGATGAATGTAAGAGCATATGTAGTATCTCTATTCTAGAGACGGTTTTCTAGATGCATTTGGATTTGGGTTTATACTTTGAATAAACTATTCTTGCCTATGTAAACACCTGTTAGAATGGCCTTTGTTTCTGCTGTGAGGTAAAGGAGGGTGTCTTAGTTATCATCCTCACCATATACGGGAAGAAGATGCAGCCTGTCACTGCATTCAGGGTGGGGTGAGGGTGAGAGTGGGGTGGATGTGCACAGTAGTGTTGAAGTCAGCAGGGCTTGTGGCAGAACATTTCACATGGTGGTCACAGCTGGAAGGAGAAAGTAGGAACTGGAAGCCATAGCAGGCTCCATCCTCCTGTCTCCACCCTGTGGCCCACCTCTGCTACCCAAGCTCCACTGCCTCCCAGAGCAGCACCACAGGCTGGGCACCAAGTGTTCAGACCCCATGAGAGACATTGCACGTTCAAACCATCATGTGCCTCTTGCTCTTCCCTAAAAATCAAGCTTATTCTCCCACTGTGACACTCAGCGTTTATTACTGTTGAAGACTTTTGATGATCACTAAAGTGGAGTCATGCCAGCTGACGGTTTAAATGTAGAGCTGCCACTAGGACACCACAAAGACATAAGCGTCACATTATCTCAGCTTGAATCTCTGTTCCTACCTATTGACTATGAATGTTTTGCTAGTTATAAGCCACAACAAGTGAGTGGCTACTTTTAATCATAGACCTAGCTAAGTATTTGACAATGAGCCAATGCCTAACATAGAGAGTCCTTATGCCCACTGTACTAAAATCATTTTTCTGTCCATCATGGGGTAGGCAATTTCTAAATCTGTCTAGAAATTGTGCAACAAACGAAATTATATGAAAAAAAAAAACAGCATGGAAAAGTTCCTAAAAGTTTCTTTGTGAAAATCTTGAATACATGGATACTATCTGGCCCCTAGAAATAATCTATATAACCCTCTAGAAATAATTTATGTAACCCTGGTTGAATTATCAACATATTATTAAACAGGTTCAGATTTCAGGGTATTCTTTTGATTATTTTGTCTATGAAAAATTGATACAATTTGTTTCTCTATCTTCTGATTAAAAGACCAAGTTTTTATTCCTTTGCATCCAGACAGCTGCTTCGTTTTCCTCATCCTCAGGGCTACTGGATATTTTCCTCTGATCTTCCATTACTCACTGTACCTGTTTAAATTAAATTCAACATACAGTGCTCTCCTAGGATCCACAGGGGACTTAGACCAGATGTGAATGGTAATATCATTTCATGTAATATATGTGTCTGCTACAAAAAGTCGGCATGTGAGAGATCAAACTGTATAGAAAACCAAGGGATGGGTTTAGGAATGTAACATTGGAATTAGCCTCTTTCTCTACACTCCTTTAGCTCTTTGAACTGCCACTGCTGAGCACCATTGATCTTATATGGGAATCCCTAAGAACGGGACCTTATCTTACAGTGTTCCCTTTTGGAGGGCTGAAACATGTGCATACCTAGCACTGGCTGCCTGATACGTTTGTGGTAGGTGCTCAGTGCAAGTTGGCTACTTAAATATGCTCACTTCTTCATTCAGAATGGAATTCAGGAAGTTGGGGGACACTTCTAATGCACTGATGATTTACCTCCATGTAAAATGCTTACGTACAAATATCAGATGCTCGCTTCTGAATTTGAATTGGCCACTATTCCCTCCACCTGGCTTATTCAGAGAAAGCTCGGTTTTCAGAGAAACAACAAAGCAATAGGGTTCACTTTCAGGTGTGCTTTCCTCTGGTGGTTCAGATGACTGAGGGCATGGTGGAGAGAACTGCTCTGTTTTGCAGCCTGGAGACTGTCAGACATTCTTGTTTCACATGAATCTACAACCTGGGGGCTTAGGGGAGGAGCTTTCACTCTCAAAATGGAAAGTGTTTTTCCCCCTTTGGTGTCTCTGTAACTTTTCCTTCCCACCTAACCTGTTTCTTTGGCTTTTTCACAGGGGTTGCATATCAGTTATCCTGCACATGAGATGTTTATATTACGACTCATAACAGTAGCAAAATTACAGTTATGGTGTAGCAACAAAGACAATTTTATAGTTGGGGTCACCACAACATGAGGAACTGTATTAAAGGGTTGCAGCAGTAGGAAGGTGAGGATCACTGATCTAGAATGTCCTTCTTTCTACCACTAACCTATCAACTCTGACCATCACAGTTTCCAGGATTAGACAAGAACAATACTGTGTCCATCTTCTAAGCCTTAGTTAGCTTAGTTAGCTTTCCGTTGCTTTGACAAGCTTAAGAAAC